TTGGGTTAAGGAATCCAAGTAAAAATAAATTTGTTGACATGAGCGATGATGTATTTCTAATATAACGTTCATATCAACATATTTAAAATTAGGTGATATATTACAGTGTCACATTAGTGATTCTCATATGATGTTAATTACAAAAAAAAATTTGACTTGTGTTTAAGAAATAGAAGAGTAACTTTGAATAAAAAGTAATGTAGGGAGAATTTTGAATATTTTTATATAAAACAGGAGAAATTTTAGTATTTTAGTCTTATATATATCAATAGTCTTTCTTGATTAAAGAAAGAATTTTGATCTATTTTTTAATTATTAAAAGCTCTATAATTAAAATTATCATATATCATGTATCTATTCATTGTCATAATAATTCAAGTACACATCATTACATAGAAAAAAATAAAAATGTTAAGTAAATTAAAGATTATTAATTATAATAATTTATGTTAATCATTATTTTCTACATCTTATAACATGTGTATAGAACTAAATCTAAATTTAACAACTAAACGAAATATATATAAACACCAACACATAAAGGATTCGAAAGAAATTAAGTTCTTGCAAAATGCAATTCTCTCCCATGAGTTTATGAATTCTCTACTTCATGAATTTTTTTGTAGTATGATAAATCATCGAGGCTATATAAAAATATATTATTTTAGTTTAGTTTATTTACATATTAGTATTATAAACAAGAATTATAGTACGTGTTAAATTTTTGAGATATATATCATCATCATAAAAAATGATTTTAATTTTATCGGATGTACATTAAAAGATATCATAGGAAATAATTATGCATATAACATTTTAATTTAATTATTATTTTTTAAACAATGAAATACAACAATTATATTTAAGATACTATATTCAAACTATGTATTATACACAAAATTAACATAAATATTATTTTATATCAACAAAAATTACATAAAAATTAAAATATATATAATAAAATGTAAAAAAAATTATTATATCTCAATTTTGGTGAAAGATTTGCAGGAGGAATAAAGTCTGAAGAGAAAATCTGTAATAAAAAAATTACATAGTGAATAATTTTAAAATTTGTAGCCCAATAAAAAATAATTATATTGTAATATTCACATTTATACTAAAGTTTTATATTTATAATATTTAAATAAATAATTATTATATATTATCATATTAAATAAATATTTTAATATATTTTAAAATTATTTTTTAAATTAAAAATTTAAATAAATAATAGTAATATTATAATATTAAATATTAAATAATTATTAAAATTGAAAAATTTGTTTTTGTTGACGTATTGTTTTACTTTTATTATAATTTTGACAAATAGAAAAATTTTATTTTAATATGGAGTCTCAAGTTTTATAATTTTGATGAAAAAAAAAATTAGAAATTAAAAAAAAAAAAAAAAAAAAGGAGAAAACCAATAAAACATTGGGCAGTCAATTGTTTCCGGGCACCCAATAAATTCTCTAGATTCACAGATTAAAACAAAGCTAGATCCTTCCCTCTCCATTTGAGAGAGAGAGAATAACTGAACTGCTTGGATGGTCCGCTCGTATGGCGTCTGCTTCCTCTCCTCGTCATACTCGCCTTCCTCTCTCTTTAGAACCAGGTGATTAATCATTTCTGATTTTTATTTAAAAACACGATCCATGATCATGTTGATTTTCGTCCATCCTTTCTTCTTATTTTTAATTTGTGGATTTCTGCTTAATCGAGCTTTTCTATGTCATTTATTGAGACCTTCTGTGATTGATAAGAAGAAAAAAAACTCTACTATTTGCTTATTGCGGTTTAAATTTATTCGCTTGGTTATAGGTTTCGTTTTGTTTTATTTTTGTTTGTTTAACATCGTATGGCTCCTAGACAATCCGAATTGCGAGGAATATATTTTACTTTCATTCATTCTATCAATCTGGATACGAGGAGAGTTTTCGGTATTAATATGTCAACGGAAACGACGTGAAATTATGCTCGAACAATTTTGTTTTGTTTAGATGAATTAATGTCGCTAAATTGGGTTAACTCTGAGTTTTTGCTGTAGTTCCGATGTCAGAGTGTATACTTGGTTGTTTTGAATTAGTTACATTTACTTATATTACATTATGTCTCTGTTTCGGATTGTTCTTTTATATCCACGGAAAAATATGTTGTAATTTGGTTTTCGATCAAATTACATTGATTTATGCTGTTTTCATTATTAAATCTCTTGCAAATAAGTATGGAGAGTTATTTACAGTGAATCTAACAATAAAAGAGAGTCAAAGTCGAACTAGTCATCCTAGACTATAATTTACACAGTCAAATCAAATTCTCAAAAAGTGTCTTATTGGCCATTTCTGTTTCTAAATCATGTATGTGGAAGTGAATTAGCACCAAGTAACCATGAAGTATAATGCTGTTGGTGACTTTCATCTTGGTTCTGAGCCTTTGTTAAGTTGTTATAATAAAATTGTTAGAACAAGCACCCATATCCATGAAGTAGAACGTCTTTAGTTTCGTTTGTAAGTTGCTTCTTAGGCTTAATGTTTTGTTTTTGTTTTTTTTTTTGTGTTGCAGGAGGAAAATACCTCAACAATGAAGCTAACTTACCTATGCTTCCTATCCACATTGTAACGGATGCTTCTCAACTTCCAGCTGAGTTCCTGGACCCCTCACCTACAGCCCAATTGATAATTGGTTTTGATTGTGAGGGGGTTGACTTGTGTCGCCATGGGACCCTTTGTGTTATGCAGGTACATTGTGCCTCTTTCTTTGAGAGGAAAGAAAGAGATGTGATTAAGAGGCACCAAGGAATGCCACCCATGTACACAAAATATCATAAGATAAACTATCAATAGGATTCTCTAAATCCTCATTATGAAGGATAGGATGCCCTGGCAGAAGGTATTAAGGAAATGGAACTAAGAATCTCTAATTCTATCAAACAGGGAACAAACTCAATCAAAAACCTTCTCTTCCCAAACAACCCAAAAATTAGATATTAGAACACGATTATAAAGCTTCTATATGGATTTACATGCCCCGAAACCCGGAGCTCATCCATCACCAACCTAGGAACAACTTAAGGTAGGTTAAGAAGACTTTATGTGGAATCTCACAACCTTCTAGCCTTTTGAGAACCAAAGAAGACGATGGTGACTTAGGTTTGTGGCCTTTTGAACGTCAAAAAACTGCAAGGCTTCATGACTGTAGGTTGTGGTCTATGGATTCCCTGATACTTGCAAGTCATTCTCTGCCTCCTTGACCTGTAGCCTTCAGTTCAAAATGTTGCTTTTTGCCAATGTTTTTGGAAGGTTACTTCTTCCTTTAAGGTCAAGGTGTTTGTTTGGACTGTCTAAGGGCTTCTCTCATCTAATGAGGATTTAAAAGACTGTATTAACACTTCAGTTGAGCTGTAAATTTCTTTTGTACATGGAGGAGATCCCTGTGCTGCCTTGTTTATAACAACAATGTCATATTTCCTTTTGAAAAAGTTATTTGTTTGGATTATGGTTCTTAATAGGCTTAATACTTATGATTTGCTTCATCTTGAGGCTCAATCATGCTTCAAATCTTGCGGAATTAGTGATATGTTTTTGGGATGCTTAGTCCCATAGTCATCTTGATTTTTCTTAGAACATTGTAATGTTGGTTTGGAGGCTCTAGGCTTGATTATTTGACACTTTTGTTGTTTGTTGGGCTTCATCTCCTCTAAACCTTGAATGTTTATTATACCACCTATATCAATGGTGTAATGAGGATGATAAATTGTTTCTAGGCATTGTTTGATGGGTTATGGATGTTGTAGTTGGAGAGACATGCAAGGAGTTTTAAATATTACTTTTCACCTCTCATGATTCTTCAGATAAGATGATTTCTTGCATCTCTTTGGGCTAAGGTGTATGGACTCCATGAGGATGCTTCTATTTTTGTAGGACAGTTAGTCCTCTGCTGCCTCAGCCATTTTGAGTCAGCAAGTTCTGTTCTGAGTTATTTTTGCTGCCTCAGCCTTTTCGCTTTGACTTTCCTTCTTTTTTTATTTTTATTTTTGGAGGAAACTAGTCCTCTGCTGATGTCCTTTTTTACTCTCCTTTTCTGATAATATTTCCTTTTCTATTTAAAAAACCATTTTCATATGGCTTACATATTAATCTCATAAGATGTTAACTTTGTTATTAAAGTTTTATTTTTGTCCCAGCTTGCATTTCCAGATGCTATTTATTTAGTTGATGCCATTGAAGGTGGAGAGAAGCTTGTAAAAGCTTGTAAGCCTGCACTCGAGTCTAGTTACATCACAAAAGTTATTCACGATTGCAAGCGGGATAGTGAGGTGCTAATCTTTTGTTTACTTTTGAATCAAGGCATGCGCACCAGGCATCATGATGAAACATTCATCACTTTGTTCTTTTCTTTTGTAGGCATTGTACTTTCAATTTGGCATCAAGTTACACAGTGTCATTGACACTCAAGTGAGATACTTTTTATGACTTACTCAAATCATGTGGATAATTTGTTCTCCAAGTTTGATTTCCATTTTAGGACTTCTGTCTGTTCTCGGTCTGCAGATTGCTTATTCTTTGATAGAGGAACAAGAAGGCCGGGCACGCCTCGCAGATGACTGCATATCATTTGTTGGCCTCCTTGCAGACCCACGTTATTGTGGTATTTTATATGTCGTGGTATCCATTTGAATTTATTTGTTTGTGGCTTAGCTATTTGATGATTCCAACTTGTGTACCATAATTTCTAAAGATCGTTAACCATGTG